GAGATGATCCTGGGAAATAACAATACCTAAGAGGCAAAGAGAAGAGTATTTATTATAAAAGAGGCCAAGATAGAAGAAGGAGATACTAATGTCCTGGGTGGGGCAAAGGAATTTCAAGGAGGGAATGGTTAATTATTTTTATTCACTCAGAAACAAAATATGATAAGAACTAAAATTTATCTAGAATTATTGCCATTTAGAATAGATATTGTTTACCTTCTAAAAGTACTCTTTCTCCCCCCCCCCCCGCCCCCACCTTGTACTGGGGATTGAATGCTCAGGCACTTTACCACTGAACCACATCCCTAACTCTATTTTATTTTTTATTTTGAGACAGGGTCTTGCTAAGTTGCTTAGGATTCACTAAGTTGCTGAGGCTGGTTGTGAACTTGTGATACTCTTGCCTCAGCCTCCCAAGTTGCTGGTAGTATGGGCACATTCCACAACTCTTAAAAGTACTCTTTTAGAACTGCTTCAGTTAGGAGAATAGTAAAGTTGGGGATAAAAGCAGATTTCAGTGCTGGGCACAGTGGCACATGCCTATAATCCCAGTGGCTCTGAAGGCTAAAATAGGAGGATTGCAAGTTCAAAGCCAGCAAAAAGTGAGGAGCTAAACAACTCAGTGAGACCCTGTCTCTAAATAAAAACTACAAAATGGGGCTGGGAATGTGTCTCGGTGGCCAAGTGCTCCTGAGTTTAATCCCCAGTACCAAAAACAACAACAAAAAAACCCCACCATCAACAAAAAAGCAGATTGCAGTGAGCTGAAAGATTAATGGTAGGTGAGAAATTATAGACTACTATGTATATAAGATACTTTCTTATATAAGCTTAAGAGAGATTGGTCAAACAGAGGAAAAAGATTGAGGGACTTTGGTGGGTAGTTACCAACTTGATCATATTAATAAGCCCTTGGGAAGGAACAATTGGAGAGGTTGAAGATGGAGGAAGAGAGAACACTTTATGTCCACTTACCTATCTGAAGCAGCCCCTCTCTTCTCCTTTATGATTTGCTATGAGATGGAAACCTGTTAGCTGTATACACAAATCAAATATTTATGGGCTTAAGCCTGTAAGGAAAGTGACATGTACTGACCTTGATCCTTGCCAGTAAATTGAAATGTTACCATTTTAGACTGTCTTAAAATGAGATTTTACCTCTACTAAATTTAGTTACATTTTAGAGAAGAATGAGGATGTGGCAAGATTTGCAGGTATGTTCTAGCTCTAGACAGTTTATCTTTTAACTTTTACTCAACCTACAGACTTTCTTAAAAGGAAAAAAGCTACCTACTCTTCATTCCACCTCCCACCCCATCCCCCTTTTTGTTCAATGTGATAATCTCTGTTGGTCAATTTCTATCTTCCTTTGCTTTTCTAACAGTAAAAAGAGCCTCAAATTACTTGACCCTGTGCTTCGATTGCCTGCCCCTAATTTGGTTTCCTTTTTTATTCTCACCAATGGGAAGCAAGTACAGACTGACACACTGTTACAATAAATGTTCTGCTCTGTGGGTTTATTGCTCCACTTGAGCAGTAGTGAAATAGAAATTTGTTTGTACTATTTATTTTATAGCATTATTATCATTTTCCAAGTGTGTAAATTTTTAGTGAAGCAAGGTTTTAATAAGTAACAAAGTATTACATATAAATATGGTTAGGGAGTATGTTTATGGGAAGGTTTCCCATTTTTAAAAAAATTCCAGTAATAAATTTGTTATAAATTTTCTTTTTTGAGTTTTTAATATTTTCTAATTATAAAAGTAAAACATACTAACTGTAGGAAATTTGAAAGACACAGAAAAGCACTTTTTTAAAAGGAGAAGTACATAACAAAATTATATAGTTTAAGACCCACATAGCAACTGCCAGTTGAAGTATTTTCATACAAAATTTCATAGGTTGTCCCCGACTGAGTAGAACACATCACTGTGCTAAAACTACTTTCTATATAGTCATCCAACCTGACACTTATCCTAAATTCCTTTCTTCATCCTCCATATCATGTTAACCATTAAATCTTCTTAATTTATTCTTGAACAAATACTTATTGAATGCCTTATCATGGAGAAGTGATGCTTTGTCTTGCTTCCTGTCCTGTTATTTTTCAAATGTTGCCACCATGTTCCTGCTGAAATGATGCTTCTAAAATATACATTTGATATTTCAATATATTCCCAAAGCTTTCAGAGTAAAGTTCACATTTTTTAGTTCCATCCTAATAACCTTTATGAGAGGACACTTGCCCACCTCATCTCATTGCATTCCCTATCCCTGGCATCTTAAGCCCAAACAACTGCAGTTCTTCAAATATGTTATATTCTCTTTGTTTCCCTTTTGTCCTTATGGAATGCTTTCCATTTTCTCTTATTATTTCAATAATAAGAATATTGTCTATTTTGTCTTGTGTTAGCTCAAGTGCAGGCAAAAATCACACAGCCTTTAATACCATCTCCATCATAATATTTTGTCATATACTTCATGTTGTTTTGTCTGTCCCACTGAAATGTAAAGCCATGAAAGCAGGAACTAGCTCAGGCATATAATAGGTATTTGATAAATGTTTACTAAATAGATAGATGGTATTTCTTTGGAGGTTGTGTTTTTATTATTTGGATTAGCATTTATTTGCATATCATATATAGGGAATTGATGTACCTAATCAAAATTACCTTTTTTATTTTGTTAATATGAACAAAAGTTCTAGAAGCAAAAGTTCTAGTAATGAAGTGAAGATTTACCTAAGCTAAGGACAAATCTATAAGGATAGAAAGAATAATATGTCACAAGTGAAGAGAATAGAAACTATTATTTGGGATTCTTAATGAGGAAATGGTCATCCTTGGTTTAGATATCACTGAAAGCATAATGAGAAGGGGCAAATATTGAAAACATTCAGAAAAATTACAGTGTAAATAATTTAGCCATGTGATTGGCCCATTTTGATAATATTTGTTCTTTTTAGATATTCATGACAGTGTATTTTGAAATATAATATATACCTGAAGTATAACTTCCCATTCTTGTGGTTTTTATATGATGTGAAATTACACTGGTCATGTATTTATATATATGAACTCATTTTGATAATATTTAAATGAATGCTGACATTGTACCTAAGCCTGCATGAAACAATATCGATATTCTGAAAAGAAGGTCTAATATTTTCACAAGGCATATCATATAATATTTTTAATAAAAACCTCTTAATTTATTTTATTTTAATAATTATCTCTTAGGCTATTTGTAAGAATTAACAACTGCAAACTCATTTCTACTTTTAAAACTCCTTTCTAGCTGCTATTGTTAATATTTTGTTTGTTTTCAAAGTTAAAAATAAATCATTTGCAAATTTAAAAAAATAACCAATAATGAATAAAAAATCTGTCATGAGACTAGTAATCACTTAATCTTGTCCTCTACTCTGTTATATTTTTCTAAAACTTATGTCATTACAATGATTAATAGTAAAAAGTAGAAGATCTATCTTATGAGTGAATTCTGCCTACTGAGAAATTTGCTAAGGTTAGCTTGAATCAAAGTGGAGTTTAAGAAATATTGGCAGAATAAATGGAAGAAGACACTTTTATTCATAATAAAAGTCTGACAGGCCTTAGCTGATTTTACTACTCTTCAAATGATAGAGTTTATTTGGGTTTAATTATTTTCCATGCTTTACTATGACTATCTGAAGCATTTTTACTAATGCAAAATACATTTTCTCATTCAGATAGGAAAAATTAATAAATTTATCAACCTTTTATATATATTTTGCTTAAATATCTAGAACATATTTCTGACAGCCTAATAGTCTTGGAGTCATTTACTAAAGTCTGTTTCAATATTGTCTCTTTATAGAATGTAAATTCTTTGAGGATAATAGCATGTTTGGTTTTTTTTTTTTTCATCCTTATGTTTCAAGCAGAAAGCTTGGCACAAACTGATAAATAAATATTTGTTCAACAAGTGAATGCATGAAGGCAGTATATTACAAACGTATATTCTTTGATTTGGTTCAAATAAAGTTTAATATGTGTACTTAGATCTACAATGTTAGAGAACCGTAGTGTTAATGTCAAATTTACAACTGTTTTCTATTTCTAATAGTTTTCTTTCTTTCCCACTGAATGATCTGGATGTGTTTGGTTTATCCTCATACCTAAGTTACTTCTATACTAGTAGTTAACTTTGGAAGCATCAAGGATTAACTAATGTATTCTAAGTATGCTATCTAGAATACTAAGGCATTTATTCTTTTGTTTACAAGTTATCTAATTTTTACCCAGTGAATGATAGTTTCACATAGTCATAGTTATTCAAAATATATATGACTCATTTAAAACATTTTTATACACAAAATGAATTGTTTTATTTAAATTTTTCTCTATCTTTGTCTTTTTGTTCTCTTATTGACTAAATTATAAAATTCTTAAATCAGATACTTAGAATTGACTTAAAAGAATAAATTCTCTACAAAACAGGAGTAGAAACAGTAACTATTGCTTGCTTTTATTGTTTTAGTGCTGATTTTTCAATTCTAGAGCAAGAATGATTGCATATTATATACATGACTCATGTATATATATTCTTTAAACCTTTAAGTTTAAATTTAGAATATCTGAAGCAAATGGTGAATATCAGGATTTTTAAAATTTTTGTTTCTGATGTATATGTTTAGAGCAGAATGTTTTTACAAATACAAAAATATGATTGCTGAAAGTCAATGTCAACTCTTGGGTTATTTATTTTTGTGTCTATTAACATAGTTAATATATTACTAATACAAATTTTAACAATAAAATGCTTTGTATTTTAAAATGTGAGTACAATGTATCATTCAATTGATTATATCTGTTATAGTTCATCAAAATAACATCTCTGAATGTATTCTATTGATTAACCAAACATCTCCTCTGTCTTTTTGAGTAACAGCATGCTTCTACTGCTGTTTAATTAAATGACCTTACCTTACATTTGTCTTGACTGGCTTCTGTTTACAGAAATTGTAAACCAGTTGAATGCTCTGAGCAGCTTAGATGAAGATCAAGATGACTGCATAAAGCAAGCAAATATGCCTTCAGCTAAATCAGCCAGTTCCTCTGAAGGTCTAAGAGCTTTCCTCCTTTCTTTCTGCTTCTGATTGCCTGTATTTACTGTGACTTGCTACATCTTGACTTCTGTCTGAACTTAGCTGTCAGTTTTGTCTTTTTGCTTTTTTTTTTTAATGTTTTCTTTGGTAATTTGTAGTGTATCAACAGCCAACAAGATAACAAAATTTATCATCTTTAGCAAAGTATTATATCAGAATGCTTAATAATGATTTAAAAACATACTTGATCATATGACAATATTTCAGTGAGCTTATATATTATAAAAACCTTTATCAGCACTTTTTAATTTGAATCAAATTCAACTCAAATGAAAGTTTCTTTAGTTCATTATCTGATAAATTTTCAAGTTAATATCTGTTTTTATTTTGCAATGTTGGTATACCACAAAATGCTTGAATGGCATTCTGCTATTGTTAAAATGCTGTATCTCATTTTTGCAGGTATTATTAATGTGAATTTTTAAAATTTGAAATATTTCATAAATGATCAATAATTAGACTTTACCATAATTATAGTGAGCTAACATATATGCTTATTTTTCAGAGCTTATCAACAAACTTAACTTTTTGGATGAAGCAGAAAAGGACCTGGTGACTGTGAATTCAAATCCATTTGATGATCCCGATGCAGTAGATTTAAATCCATTTGGAGATCCTGACTCAGAAGGTAGGAAGTCTTTCTATACTTTTACAGTCTTTGTATAGTCAAGTTTTCATAAACTATAAATAAGGGCAGGGAAAGATTTTCTTAAAAGACTCAAAAGGTGATTTTTTGATTAAATAATATTTGATTAAATAATACCATTTGCAGTTGATTGTTAATTCTAGGTAGTCTCCATTGAATTGTTTTTAAATAAAAACTAATAAAGCCTTACCTAGATATTTGCATGTGGCTTATTTTTAGTTCTTATTTGATTAAACAGTTAGTAAAAGTCTAATGTTATAGATAATAGTTTTTTACCTAGCGGACATATAGTCATTTGTTAGGCATACCAAGTGAGGTCAGGTTGTGGGGAATTCTGATAGTCAGATAATAGAGGTAGATCCTCTATACCACTCTTCCACCCTCGTGTTCAGAGCATCTGAACATTTAGCTACTCCTAACTCATGCCTTTAGCTGAAAAATTACAGTTAATAGAGTGAGTTATGTATGTGATGGCATGGAGCAGAGAAAGTTAAAAAACACTGCTGTCATATATACAGCATACTTATAAAGAGTAAAACAGGGGTTCCCACTGCTGCCACCAGTCTCTTTTCTTATCAAAACTCCTATTTAAGAGTTTTGAACTCTTCAAGCCTGGATAAGGACTGTTGAAGAAGTGAGACCTCTGTTAATTAAACTCTTTGCTTTTGAAGTAAATGCAAGAATGATTAACCACTATTTACATCTTTTTGATTGCTCTTATGAAATCTTCATGAGCTTTAAAGAATTTTTCTACTGCTTATCATGATGAAAATGAGTTCAGCTTCAGGATTCACTCTGTTAGAGCAATATAGTTTCATAATTCTTTCCTTCTCTTCCTTTACCTTTTCTCTTCTTTCTAGCTTCCAAATTAATAAGATTTTTGTGGACTATGTATTATGAACATATTTTAAATCTTAATAAAGATAAATTTTAAAGATAAATTAGGACACTGAGGCTCAGAGGAGTGAAGTGATTTTAATTTGAGGGAAATGTACTTGGAAATTAGAACTAAGATTCCCAAACAAGCATCTTCTTTTGACCACACAGCTGCTTTCATGGTTGCATGTCATAATGCATACATCTGAGTACTGTGTTAAAAAGATAAAATTACGAAAATATTTTGAAACATCAGTATTTGAATTTTCCATTTCAAAATCAAATATGCTTTCTAAATATATGTGGATCTGTTTTCTGAAATAGAAAGTAGCTTCAGAAAACACATAAGATTTTATTTCTGTTTAAACAAAGCAAACCAATCTGATTCAGTATTTTTAATTATGCTTACAGAGCTAAGAAAACATGTAGCAATCACTGTTTTCTTTAAACATATGCCTATGTCGTTGGAATAAGTACTTAGTACTTTCTTTTATAAATTATTAATTTTTTTCCATCAATTAAAAACTTTCATCTTCAAGTAACCAAAATATTTGGGGAAGAAAAAAATGTATTATAGTTCTGTTTTTAGTTAGTTTGTTTTGGGCTTTATGGCTGAACTTCATGTATATTCATTTTATGTCTTACATCCTCAGTTCTCCTTATATTTATGTATGTCAGTGACCCTTTTAGAAAGTCATTAAATGTATTTGTTAACTTTTATATGAAATAATCTTAAACTTGCCCTCCTTTGTTACTTGTACTGTCATCTTTAAATCTTGTTCTGTAGTTTCTATACTCTTTTGTAACCAAAAAAATGATGATTTACTTGGATCAATTTTTGCAGTCCTTTTCCTGAAAGTAGAAGTAAACAGTTTGTTTCCATTGACAAGTTTTGTCAGCTTTTAAGCATTTGAGCCTTGATATTTGATAATAAAAAAATTGAATAGGCAAAATTGCATATTCTCTTCCCCTATGGAGAACAGAAAATGCTCCATTTACATTACTATGAAGATTTTAATGATGTTTGAATATTATGATGGTATTACAAAAAATAACACAGTTATTGAATCTTTTTAATGTAGTCAATTTTAACTCATTTTAATATTAATTTATTATGATTTTAAATCAATAATATGATTTTATGAAATCTTTTATACTTTATAATAGGTTCTACATGGTATACAGAATTTCAGTTGAGGGATTTTGTTTTATTTTTCTTCAATAGAATGATAAAATAAAATTTCTGGACTAATGTCTAAAATATAAGTTGTTTCACTTTAAAATATAAAAGTCACTAGGGTAGGCATGATGGCATCTGCATGTAATCTCAACTATGTGGGAGGCTGAAGCAGGAAGATCACTGAAGACCAGGAATTTGAGAGTAACCTAGGCAGCATAGAAAGACCCTGTTTCAAATCAGTCAATCAAAAATCATTAATATATGTCAATCATAAATGTTTCTGTAATAATCAGAGTAAGTTGCTTGAAGTATCACTTAGGAAATAATTGTGATTTTTCTTGAATTCAATGACCAATTTTTTGCTTTTTACTAAAATATTTTGTTGGAGTTGCCTGGCATAATTAAAATTAGTTTTAGTGTACTATGATTATTGGCTTTCTGAAACTTTTCTCCAGTATGGAAAAATATGTATGTATTTAGGCCATACTGGGGATTGAACTCAGGGTCTTTCACATGCTAAGCAAGCACTCTACCACTGAGCTACCTTGCCAACCCTTTTTAATTTGAGGCCAAGACTTACTTAGTTGCTCAGGCGGGACTTTTGATAATCCTGCCTCAGCCTCTCAAATAGCTGGGACCATTTATTTTTGTCAACAAAACCTATATGCAAATTTGTTTTCAAATTGAAAATTTAAATAATAAAATATTGAAGTATTTAGTGTGACACATCTATCACCTTACCAGTATGATTTTAATACAACTTTAATTCAACCTGAGGATCCTTATGTTATTCTTATTAGAATATTAATTGGATTCATATTTTAAAAATTATTTAATTAAAAGCTCTAAAGGTTAAGAATGGGGTCTGGTAATATCGAATGGGAGAGTATGTGCTTAGTATGTTCAAGGCCCTGGGTTCAATCCCTAGCACCCGCAGCGGGGGGGTGGGGGGGTGGGGGGGGGAGTTTTAAAGTTTTGTAGCCTACAGAACTTTCAAAAAAGAAGTCCAGGGATACATGTATGTATTTTTTATATAGTCTAGAATGAATTTCTGGATACCTAAATATTCTGGTATAATTACCAAGGCCCTTTTAAAATTTAATCCATTTTATATTCTTTTAAACAAATTTATTACATTGCAGTTTGTGATGATAAGCTAGTATAGTGAGATAAATAATATTGCACTGATAAGAAGTTGAAAATTTCCAAAATTGAGGTACCATAATGCTGATACTATTAGAGACTCTGATGATTGTCATGAAACATTAACTATCCAGAGATGTCGTGTTTTATGAACACAATTCCTAGAGAGGTAGACAGAGAACTTAAATATTACATTTTCTAAACTTCAGAATTCCTTAACACCTCTAAAAGGAATTTCTTGTTTCATTATTGTTTTGTGCTCTGAGAGCTCTATAATTTATTAATTCAAGATTCCAGTCTTTGAAAACACATTAAAGCCAGGTGCAGTGGTGCATGCCTATAATCCTAGCAGCTTTGGGAGGCTGAGGCAGGAGGATCTTGAGTTCAAAGCTAGCCTCAGCAACTTAGCAAGATCTTGTCTCAAAATAAAAAAGTAAAAAGAACTGGAGATTAAATTAATTAATTATTCAGTGGTTAAATGCCTCTGGGTTCAATTCCTGGTGCAAAAAAGAAAAGAAAAGAAAGAGAGAGAGAAAGAGAGAAAGAAAGAAGGAAAGAAAGAAAGAGAAAGAAAGAAAGAAAATTAAAAATATCATACAGGGGCTGGGATTGTGGCTCAGTGGTAGAGTGTTTGCCTAGCACATGTGAGGTACTTGGTTCAATCCTCAGCACCACACTAATAGGTAAATAAATAAATAAATAAGTGTATTGTGTTCATCTACAACTAAATTTTTTTTAAAATAGCATGTAAATATCATATGCTATTAGTTTACTTAATCTCTTGGTATCATTTTATAGAACCAGTTACTGAACCAGCTTCGCCTAAAAAAACAGAAGAATCTTTTCATAATAACAGTTATAATCCCTTTAAAGATGTACAATATTTGAACCCATTTGATGAGCCAGAAACTTTTGTAACTATAAAGGATTCTCCTCCCCCGTCTACAAAACGAAAAAATATAAGACCTGTGGACATGAGCAAGTACCTCTATGCTGATAGTTCTAAAACTGAAGAAGAATTGGATGAGTAAGTATATTTCATTTTGCTATTACCACAGTTCAGTTTCTAAAGTAATTAAAGAGATCCTTTTGTAATGTAAATTTGGATAGGTAAAAAATGTATTTTATAAATTTAATATGTATTTTATAAATACATATAAATTTCTGTGTAGCTCATTCCTGATCTGAATTTTTATAGTCTTAACCCTTATTCTCTGACCCTCTTCCATACGATTATGTGAGTACTCTAAACTAACAAATAAGGGAGATGTGTTCCTGGAATCTCTTGTTGAAATTTTAATTGTATCATCTCATAGAAACCATATTACAAATGGTAGGTAGGTTTTTTATCGAATAGCGTAAGCATTACACTTGAATGTTATATTATAGTTTTGTTGTGGGATCCAAATTAGTCATTTATGATATTAATTTGATGAGAAGACTTTTTCAAGTGCCAAACATTGAAAGACTTTTTCAAGATCCTAACATTGATAAATCAGGTCTTATTATAAGCTTCAGATGAATAGGCAGTATGATTAACACTGCCGTATTGTTCAAATATAGATTGGGGATAAAAAGGCAATATATTCACATTGTGATCTAGAGTTGCATAGTGCACAATCTGTGTGACTGTAGACCATGACCATGAGTATATTTAAAAAGTGACAACAAGCCAGACATGGTGTTTCATGCCTGTAATCCTAGTGGCTTGAGAGACTGAGCAAGAGGATAGCAAGTTCAAAGCCAGCCTCAGCAACTTAGTGAGGCCCTGTCTTGAAATGAAAAAATAAAAAGGGCTGGTGATACAGCTCAGTAGTTCAGCACCTTTGTATTCAATCCCTGGATCCCTGGTAAAAAAAAAGACAACAAAACTTCAAATTCTAGCAATAATGGAATAACACAGACTAGATGTACCTCTTGTCTTAAACAACTAAAAATGGAATAAACTATGTGAAGTACTGGTTTTCAGACATTGGGCATAAACTGGATGGTACAGGGAGTTCTGAGAGAATAGAAACAAAGATGATGAGCCCTATAGTTGTCCAGTCTTACTTATGGAGTAATCTCCCTGAATTGGAGAGATAGAATTTGGTCTTTGAGGATTATAGAATGGCTAAAATATGTGGACAGAGTACCAGAGAGGAGAGAGCTACTTTCAGAATTTCACAGATCTATAGAAGATTTTTGAGTCTTTAGCTGAGTATTGATCAGAAAAAAATTACCAAGGACAAAGAAACAGACATAATAATCCCTGGAGTCCACCTAAGACCACGAATAGTTTGTGTTCCCATTACCCAGGGGAGAAGACAGCACATGGAGCATCAATTAGAGTCCTCAGCAGGATATTGCCTCAATGGTAGACCAAATTAGCCTCAGTACAAAGACTTTTCTGGACCTGCCTGACAAGCTTAAAGACAAGGTTCAAAAGATCAAAGTAATTCCAAGTAATTTAACTGCATCCCACACAAAGCTCAAAATATTTAAGGGAATGTGTGTGTGTGTGTGTGTGTGTGTGTGTGTGTGTGTGTGTGTGTAAATTTAAAACACAATTCACAAAGACAATAAAAAATTAGTAGGCATGTATAAAAAGCAGGAAAATCTGACCCATAATGAGAAGCAAAGTTTATCATTAACTGTGGATGCAGAAGTGGGACAAGTGATGGAACTATTAAGTAAGCATAAATATATTCCAAATATTTAAGAAGATGGAGGAAAACAGAGAGCATGGGTGATATTTTAAAAATTCAAATTGAATTCATAGAAATGAGAAATACAAAGTCTGAGATGAAAAATACTCTGTATGGGATTAATCCCGTGTTACAGAAGACAGAAATATTAGTGAACCTAATGACATAGGAATAGAAACCACCCAGAATGAAACACATGGGAAAGAAAAATGAATAGAGGATTGGTAAGCTGTGGGACAACTTCAAGTGGCCTAACTTTTGTATAATTGAAATTCTAGAAAGAGAGGAGAGAAAGGGAAATAGAAAAAATATTTGACAAATTTGAAAAATATTGGCCAAAGGATTTTAGAAATTAAAAAATAGATGCACCTATTAGGTCCAAGAAACCTAATGAACCCCAAGCACAAGAAACACGAAGAAAATCATAGGAAGGTTTCTCAACAAAAACAATCCAAATTATAAGCCAGCAGGGTAACATTTTTAAAGTTCTGAAAGAAAACATCAAAAACTTGTCAACACAAATTTCTATTTCCAGTCAAGAAAAGAGGGCATGAAAGGGTAAGCAAAATAATTTTTTCCATATATCCAAAAGCTGAATGAATTCTTTATTATCTGGTTTGCTTTGCAATATATATATATTGCCTTTTTTTTGCCTTAAATATATATATATATATATATATATTTAAGGCAAAAAAAAGTCTTTTATGCATGAGGAAAATGACAAAGGAATGAAGACACAGGAAATGGCAAGTGTGTGTATAAAATGTTTGTCTTATTTTTAAAAGATTTTTGTTTTAAAAAGATAATTGTTTTTAAGCCTTAAATAATAATGTATGCTAAGTTTTATAATATGTAAAAGTAAAGTATGATAGTATAACAGTTGTAAAAACTGAGTGGGGAAATTAAAGGATACTGCTTTAAGCTTCTCATATATAAGATTACTTGAAAACAAACTTTTTTCACAGATAACTTAAATTTTTTATGTAGAAAATCATAAGAGTCTCCAAAAAAGCTTCTGGAACTGAAAACTAAATTTAATAGGGTTATAGATACAAGATTAACATACAAATTTAATTTTTTCTCTGTAGTGATATTGAACAATCAAAAAAGGTCATTTTAAATTAAAAACAAACAATTAGAATTTTTTTTTTAAAGATACACTTAAAGGGTCTAGGGTATAGCTTAGTGGTGGAGGTCCTGGGTTCAACCCCCTGCATCAAAAAAAGAAAGGTACAAAAGTATCCTCTAAAAATCAGGAATACATTTGAAGGTGGACAATTATTATACAATGAAAACAGCAAAACATTGCTGAGCAAAATTCTATGACCATGTATTCAAAGGTATGAGTTCTTTTCATTTGATCTGAGATTCAATGATGTATTGGATTATATGGCCATACAAAACAAGCAGGAAAGTCAGAGGCTGAAGATGCAGGTGAGAAAGAGAAAATTATTAAGGGAATTGGCTTACATGATCATGGAGACTAAGACATCCCAATACAGATCATCATTTGCAGGCTAGAGACTTGGGGATGCCTATAACATGACTCAGTGTAAGTCTAAAAGCCTGATAACCTGGGAGGCCACTAGTGTAGGTCCTGGAGTTCAAAGTCCATAGAACCTGGTGCTCTGATGCCAAGGCCAGGAGAAGAATGTTTCCCAGCTGCAGAAAAGAGAAAGACCAATTTGCCTGTCTTGTTTTGTTTTATCCAGGCTTCTAACCAGTTGAATGGGCAATGATTAAGAGCACAGGGACTGTTGGACTTAGAAAAGAGATGATTTTAGGAAACTATAGTGACTAACTTCAAATATTTTATGACTTTTGTTTGAAAGAGTAAGGGAGTTGATTTATTTTCTATTGTTCTGGAACTATGTTTCTCGATCTTTTCCTACTTTACAATACTATGTAATGACTCTCATGTGTTTTACATGCCTCCCTGGATATAGCTATGTTTTGGTAAAAGCTAAAAAAGTTCTAACCTCCATAAATACTTAGAATTACATTATTAATAATAATTTGATTTCAAACCCAGGTTGAGATCTCATTACTAATTAAAAACTGTATGGGGGTTTAAAAGTTGGCTCAACTCTTGCCAATGTTATTGTTTGTTTCCTTTGAAATAGCTAATGTGTAATAAATAAAATTTCTCATGGGTGGTGTAGGTGCTGAGTAATAGCCACACACCTAGAATATTTGAATGTAAATGTAAACTTTAAATATCTTTCAGTCATTCCAAGATGTATGAATATTACACAATACACACACACACCCTGCTCTCTCCTATTAACAAATTAAAGAGACAGCTAATGTTTGCTTAAACTTTTACAATGCCTTAATAAAAACCAAAATCAGAATCAGTGGGTGTTTCCTTTTGACCATTCTTTTTTTTTTTTTTAACATGAAAGTCACAGTCTTTACAAGTTTCCCATGAATAAAGAGCCTGCTAAATTGCTCAATCATTTGCGGTTACTAGAGGGAGCCTATAAACAGCTATTTCTTTCTTTCTTTGGTTCTTTTTTTTTTTTTTTTTTTTTAGGAATACACACAGAAGTCCTAAAGATTTCACATCAGCTAATGTGCAAGTCCAGGAAGAATTTGGTTTGCATTACTTACTTATTTGGTATTCATATATCTCCAAAAGTTTATAGGTTCCATATCAGTGACAGAAATCGTCCAAAATTTATTCTTACTTCAATTATAACTTACAACTTTTTATCAAGTGAAAAGTTTCTGTGACTCATTTTCTATTATTAAACTGTTCCTGTATGCTCCAATATAGAATTTTCCACAAATAAACAGTACTGAGTATTTTGATGTATAAAACATCTCCCATCAGTACCAAAAGAAAAATACATACCTTCCTTGCTCTTTAGCATCGGTTCTTTACACTTAGCAACTGTTTGGTTTCTCACTTTTCTTGGCTTTGGTAGACAGTTTGGCTATTCCAATTTAGTGAAAAGAAAACTGATAAAGCAATATTATATTAGAATTTTTAAGTAACTTTTGAGAACCCACATGTAGACATTTCTGATGTTGCTGTGTCAGTTTCTCAAGCCTCTCATGGAATTTTATTCAGAGAAGGTATATACTCATTTTAATAAATTTGAATTGTTTTTCCAAAGAAACAATAGACTTTCAAGATGAGAGGAAAAGACTACAGATTTCTCTTTACCCTGGTTTCATAGTGTAATATTTCCAGTATGTTTTAGTTAATCTTGCTGCTAACCAACTTTAGTTTTACTTTCTGATTCCAAACCCAGGTTGAAATCTCATTACTAATTAAAAACTGTATGGGGGTTTCCTGGATGAATATCCAAACAATAAATAATATCATTTAAAATCATTCTATCCAACTTCTTTAATATAACATGAATTTTAAACTCACAGTGCGTTAATGTTTTAACTAATATATCACTCAGGTTTACAGTTCAAAGATGAAAATAATTTATTTTTATTCAGAGCAATGTGGAAAGTCCTGAAATAGATTATTTAAATCATAAATGATCAACAAGATGTGGAAATTGTGTTAAATCCTTAAATTTCCTCATGTAAAGTACTGCTTAAGAATATAGTCATGGTCTAAGAAATACTTGATTAGCAAATTTTGTCATTGAACCCACATCCTAGAATGTACTTACACAAACAAAAATAGCCAAAATGACACTAGCTGATATAATCCTATGAGACCACCATGTATATGCAGTCCATTGTCAACCAAAATGTGTGTGATGCATGTATATTAAATGTATTTATCAGCAGTTATATCACTATTTTCATTTTGAAGAGAAAATGGTATATTCACATAATACTTTATGTAGGCACTGTTCCTGTTCACTTGTTCTTAGCAGTACTTTTTTATATTGAGATATACATACTTTCTAAAACATTAAATTACACATTTAAAAATGTATACTGCAGGTGTTTTTGGTATATTTGCTGTGTCTTATGATCACCACTACTGCCTAATACCATAACATATTTATCATTAACACAAGGAGTTCCATACCTCTTAGCAGTTAGTCCCAACTCCCCAGTTCCTCCATCCTCTGCGTTAATCTACTGTATTTATCTATGAATTTGACCATAGATATGGACATTTCGTGTAAATGGAAACATTTGCTGTTCATTCTTGAGTGGAATATTCATTTTTATTTAGGGCTTTCTGAATTATAAAGGGAAGGATCTGAAAACTCATAAAGGACTTTTATCCTTACTCTGATTTAGTAGCTAATCAGTGGTGGTGCCTAGCAACTATTGTCTCACAGGCAAATTATGGATGTATAAAGATAGTGATTTTCGTAGTCCTCCTGATGGCCAGGCACAGTCAAAGGCAGCTAAAGTTCCCGACACTTTTAATTTCAAGCAGCTTTCTTTGTTATGTCAAATTTCATTTTCAGTATATGTCATAATATGAAAACATTGAGAATCACAGCTCTAATTCGTTCAAGAAAATGTCTGTTTTGGGCAGAGATTAATAATGAGTTAATACAACTCAGTGATAGAGCACATACCCGTTATATACCAGGCCGTACATTCAGTCCCTAGCACTGCAAAAACAAGAACAAAACAAATGTCTATTTGGATTGTTTTTAATAACATAAATGTTAGGAACCAACTTTGGAAATAGTTGATCTGGACTTCTTTTCTACTTGTGTTTATTTTCCCTATGCAAATAATTCAGTGGTTAGAGGGAGATATAGTGAGTAGAACTTGGCAGAGAAAGCATGAAGAAAAAGGTCAATATTTTGAGATACCTTGCTATACTTATGAGATAAGGTTATGGAAGTTTTATGCAAATTGAGTTGTATAAATTTATCTGTATAAAGTATACCAAAGAGTTGTCTGTTTAAAAGAATTCTGGGGACTGGGATGTGGCTCAAGCTGTAGCGCGCTCTCCTGGCATGCGTGCGGCCCGGGTTTGATCCTCAGCACCACATACAAACAAAGATGTTGTGTCCGCCGATAACTAAAAAAAAATTAAAAAATAATAAAATAAAAGAATTCTGATTTATTTTCCCTGTTAAGCACATCTTTTTGTAATATAAGCAGTCTATACTCTAAAATAACTAGGTTTATCTTAAAACCATTCATGTCTACATAATAAATTAATAATAATGATTATTATAGGAGCTACCATCTTACAAAATAATATGGAAATTTGTTAATCAGAAATAATTATTTAAATTATCTTCCAAATAATTCATATAACTGAATTAATTCAGTTAGATTGACTTGGTTCTTCTCAGCTCTGAGGCATTTAATATTGGGAAGCAAGTTAGTTTTGAAACAAACAAAAAATAAAAATATTTCTCCCTAACTTTTGAAATTTACATTTTTTTATCTCATTTATTTACATTTATCTCCCTTCAAATTACTTTTAAGGCTTCAAAAATAACTGAACAAGGCTATTGAAAAAAATAGCAAGAAAACAAGATTATTGTGAGGATTGAATGGGTTAATACATGTGAAGCATTTAAAGCAGCATCTAGCATAGTATACTTACTAAATGTTAATTAATATTGGTAAGTCCTCCATTCTATAGTAAATGTGATAGCTTTTCTACTTCTTTTCAGAGAACATTTTCAGCTTCTTCTGAACAACTAGTTTTTTTTTTTAACATTGTTCTTTACTTTGATTTCCCCAAGTTTTCTTATAGATAATAAGCATGGACATATAAATAAATACTTCAAATATATCTTAGTTACTAGACAAGAGTATTTAGGTTTGAAAAGGTAATTATATATATAAATATACACACACACAAATATTTATTTATTTATGCAAATATATAGATTTCCTGTTCTTTTTCTCTTGAAGGCAGAGTCATAAGAACACAAAGAACAGCAAATAGATTTCTGTGTAGGTGCCAGGTCCAACTTGTTAGGTTAATATTAAGTTAAAAGAAATTCTTAGACTTTATCCTAGCCCAGTGAAAACGAGTCACATGATATCAGTTATTGCCATGAGTATGAGAGTGATATCACAAGTGTGATATTTCTCTTTTCCAGTCTAGGTTTATTTGGTACCCAGAGCCTCATGTGACCTGATTGTTTAAATTCTTAGAGTTGTAGATAGTTTTTGGTTCTAGGCAAGTCTGTACTATGGGACTCTAGAAAAACTATTGATATTGGGGAAAATTGCAACAAAATACTAATAACTAGGATAATGGTTTATTACTGCCATAGGAAGAATAATCAGCATATATACCAGTTACTAATATTAATGGGTAACTAAAAAAAAAAACAATGTCCTTCTGCTTTATTAATAAGGCAGTTAACAAAGAAACTTTTCTGCCTGGACCTAGAGTCTAGGTAAGTAGGGAAGGAAGGGGAGCTTTCTCTGGGAATTTATAAGGACAGGCCCACATTATGTGGATTGACATTATGTTGGATTTGACATTATTTTGGCAAGATTGTCTAGAAACTCAAGGTAGAAAAAAATACAAAGTGGCTGCTAAGTACAAGCATAAAACACTTTGAAGAGAGACACTCCCAACTCAGACTACACAAGATTTCTTCAGAATAAGCCCTGAATTTATAATCTAAATTGTAAAACACACAAGGAGGGGTTGTGGCTCAGTGGTAGAGTGTTGTGGCTCAGTGGTAGAGTGTTCACCTAGCACATGCAAGGCCCCGGGTTTGATCCTCAGCACCACATATAAACAAACAAACAAATAAATGGTATTCAGCTACTACTAAAATATAAATATTAAAAAATTAAAATAAAATAAAATACACAAGGAAACAGTTTACCAAGAGAAAGAATCAGGAAACAAAAGAAATAGCAAGATTATATAAGTAATCTTGTAGTTATTATTCAAATAATGGACTTGTCAGATGGAGTTATGCAAAAAATATGTTTAAATTATTGAAATCTTTGTGTCCGAGGTATCTCATGTACAGATATATGAGGAAAGATAGTTATTGAAACTAAAAATTAATGTGGAATTGACTATTAGATACAGATGAAGAGAGAAAAAATTATCTAGAATGTAGCACATAAAAAGTAAAGATTTATAAAAATATGGAGATATAGGTAGTTCAATATCTAGTAAGATTTTCTAAAGAAGACAATAGGAAGAATAGAGAAGAAGCTATCAAAGGGAGAATGATAATTTTTCAAACTGATAAAATATGAGTCTTCAGACACAGAGAATACAAGGAGTCTGAAAGAAAATAAATTAAAAGAAATCCACACCTAGACATACCATAGTTAAATTGCTCAAAACCAGAAATAAAGAGATCTTAATGTCAACCAGCTATAAAAATTACTAGAAAGAAGTAATATGAGGCTGACAGTGGGCTAATGATTTTCAAAGAACTGCGAAAGAATAACTGAAAAATATAACTCTGTCCAGCTAAGTTTTCATTTAAGTGTGAGATTGAAAGATACTTTCAAAACCTGGGAGAATTTGCTGACAGTACTTTGCTGAATGAACCACTGAAAGATAGTTCCCTTAAGAGAAGAGAATTTGACACAAAAGCAGGGATTAAATTCAAGAAGAAAAAGAAATGGGAGTGAAGCATAAAAAAAGAAAGTAAATCAACATTTCTACATCTTATTTCCTCTTCCTAGACTATCAAGAATATATAGGATATCCTTTTTTGAAAATAATACATTTTCTAAGGTTCTGTTTTGTAGTAGTTGAAGCTGAGCATGACCTAGTATTTAACATCTTTTTAAAGTGGCAAATTTTATTTAAGTCTAGATAGAAATGGACCCAAAGATTAATAGCCATTGTTCTGATTGTAAGACTTTCTGGTTTGGGTTTATTTGCACGAAACATTATAGTTTTCAGTACATATTTAATTATTTTAGTTGGAAATAATTTGAGAGACATTTAACAATAATTCTGATTTCATTTAGATCAAATCCTTTTTATGAGCCTAAACCAACTTCTCCAAATAATTTGGTAAATCCATTTCAAGAACTGGAAATTGAAAGAAGAGTGAAACGAAGGGCCCCACCTCCACCAGTTCTCTCACCAAAGACAGGAAGAGTAAATGAAAACACAGTTGTTTCTGCAGGAAGAGATCTCTCTACTTCTCCTAAGGTAGGATATTACTCTTAATACAGCATGTATTAATGTTTGCTCTTTTTCCTCCATGCAGTTGCAATTTGAATTAGCAAAAGCCACTGTTAGCTATTTTTGAAAATTTAAAAGTAAAATTTAAAAGTAAATCTATATTATACTATAATAAAATATGCTTGCACAATTTAGCTATTGTGAATTGTGCTAGTATAAACATTGATGTGGCTGTGTCCCTGTAGTATGCTGTTTTTAAGTCCTTTGGGTATAGACCGAGGAGAGGGATAGCTGGGTCAAATGATGGTTCCATTCCCAATTTGCCCTTCAGTAGATGAATGGATAAAAAAAAATGTGGCATATATACACAATGGAATATTACTAAGCAATAAAAGAGAATAAAATCATGGCATTTGTAGGTAAATGGATGGAGTTGGAGAAGATAATGCTAAGTGAAGTTAGCCAATCCCAAAAAACCAAATGCGGAATTTTTTCTTTGATATAAGGAAGCTGATTCATAGTAGGATAGGGAGACAGAGAATGGGAGGAATAGACAAACTCTAGATAGGACAGAGGGGTGGGAGGGGAAGGGAGGGGGCATGGAGTAATTAATGATGGTTGAATGTGATGATCATTATTATTTAAAGTACATGTATGAAGACACAAATTGGTGTGAGTATACTATGTATACAACCAGAGAGATGAAAAATTGAGCTCTAAAGAATTGAAATGAGTTTGCTGTTATATATAAATAAAAAATAAATTTTTTAAAAAAGGAAGAAAATATATGTTTGCAAAACTATTCATTTATAGTACAGTTTGGATGGGATAGTTTGGGTTAATGTATGTTTGTTTGTTTGTTTAAGACAGGGTTTTGCTATGTTGCTCAGACTGGTCTTGAATTTGTGGGTTTAAGCCATTTTCTTGCCTCAGCCTCCCAAGTGCTGGGACTACAAACGTGTATGACCACACTAAGCCTTTTTTTTTTTTTTAGGTGTTTGGGTTTGAACCCAGGACCTCACATGTACTAAATACATACTCTATCACTGAGGTACAGCCCCCGTCCTGAGATTTATTTTTAAAATGCTGCTTTGACATTAAAGGAAGAAGAGCATTATAATTATAGGATTGGTTCCTTAAAGGAAGGATATTCTGAAGCATCTAGGCAGAAGGGACAACTTATGTTATAGAAGTTATTCTTTGACAAATGTACTGTAAACATTAAGACTCAATGCAGAGAACTTTATTGAAGAATTTCAATATTGCCACTTTAAGTCAAGTTTCAGTAGTTTCTCTTGGATAGGCAATTTTTTAGTTCATTTTGTGGCTGTTGTTAACTCAGTTCTGAACTAGTTGATTTTATTTATATGTATTTTTACTGTTTTAAAGGAAGAATGATTTTACTGAGGTCCTCATTCTGCCATTTTAGATGTCAATTTCCTTTGTTTTGAAACAGGGTTTTGTTTTGTTTTTTAAACCTATGACTTTAGGAAGGATCTAAGGATAAATTATGTCATGCAGTTGGCTACAGAAAGGGATGAGGGGGTACTCTAAATGAAAGGAGCAAATGGTTGAAATATAAAGCAAAGGAGATGGCTAATTCTAATACCTATAGGAACAAAAGTATAGGCAGGTTCGGCACTAGTCAGAATCAGGAAACTATTTAGGTTTCTTATCCATTCTGACCATCAAGAATACCTGTACCTATTTTTTGTCTTCCTAAATCTCCAGTCTCTTATTGCCTTCTGCCTGCCCCATCCCTCTTCTCTAGTCTCATTAACAGATTTGATCCACAAAACAACATGAGAAATATATACCATTATCTCTGTTTTACATATGAGAAACTGAACCTCAGTTAAGTAATTTGCACAAAGTGATAAAAGTAATGATGACAGTGCTAGGAATAAAATTCATCTTTTTCAAGCATAAAACACATGCTTTTCCCACTGTGTCATGATACCTCTACAGAGGTATTTCTGATTCCAAGTTGGAACTATAGTATAATTTTCTGTAGTAACATTATTTCCATGGTGATTAGATTCTCTGGTAGTGAAATATGTAATAGCTATGTGTAATGTAAAAATATTACATTACTTTGAGAATGATGTTCCATTGCAGATATATTGTGGAATTAATTATGTTTATTGACAGATCGGTTGTACCACCATGCCTCACCTGGAAAATGTCTCACGATGCTCACAGAGAACAAAAACACAGTCAAATCCACAGTAACTTTTTTTGACTTGAAGTTAATTTGGATAGTAAGTTAAACACAGCTGAAAAAATAAATTTGTAAAACTGTAAGCTTAGCATGGTGGCACATACCAGTAGTCCCAGCTATTTGGGAGCCTTGCTTGAGCCCAGAAATTTGAGACCAGCTTGGGCAACACAGCAAGTTCCCTATTTCTTAAAAAGCATAGAGTAGAATAAAGTAGAATAAAATAGAATAATTGCTAATACATTATTAAATGAAAAAAAAAAGTATGTAACGAACATAGCCAGGTATCATGGTGCATGCCTGTAATCCCAGCAACTCAGGAGACTGAGGCAGGAGGATCCCAACTTAGAAGCCAGCCTAGGCAATTTAGCAAGCCTCCTGTCTTAAATGATAAAAAGGGCTGAGGTTATAGCTCAGCTTTCTACATTTATATAATGATATCTGAAGAGACATGTTAATCTTTAGAGCATAAGATTATTGGTGAGGAAATAGAGGGACATTTCTCTTTTCCCCCTTTTGTCACGTGTAGTATCAATTCTGAAATATATTTGAACACTCATACTGCAGGGCCCAGAGTAGAGCAAGGCAAGAGAGAGATCCACAGGGCATTTAAGAGGTGCTTCCTCTTGGGTTGGTGCAAGTGCAGATTCTACACTTAAAACACCCCAAGAGTGCATGCTCTCTGAAATCTTTGATTCCAGGCACTCTTTGACTCACCCTGGTGCACAAAAGGGGCATAACTGATGGACAAATATGCAGTAGGAATAACTCACAGATCTTTGCAAATTTAAAGAACAAGCAACTACCTACCATAGAGAACTCCTCTAAGAATGTGCCTCTTGATTTTTCTCAGTGTGTAGTGAAAAAGAATAAAATGTGAAAAAAATTTTAAAACCCTGATTGAACTATTAGCTTTTAAAAACAGATTTATAGAGTAAATTTAAGTTTGCTTTTGAAAGGTAGATCTTTGATATCAACATATTCTAAAATAATTGAATTTTAAGGATTCTGTCACAGTTTTATAACTGAGGATTGAATACTATTTTTTTCTTTATGGAGACCAAATGTCCTTTCTTAGGAAAATAACCCAAATAAGGTAACTATTTATGTAACTAAATAAGGTAACTATTTAATGATAAAGAATGGCTTACAAATTTGACTTATTTGCCTAAATGCTTTATGAAGACTAAACAACAGAAAATGGCAAACTGGGTACTACAGTTGTATCTTAGCAGAACATTTTAGGATACATTATTGATGATAAATGTGGAAGTTGCAATACTCACTCTTCATGAGGAAGAGAAATCTATCTGAAGTATTTGAACAGATGTATACAAACTATATCATAACCCTTCTAAAATTCCATTACTAATAAACTTCACCCTATAAAAGTAAGAAACAAAACAAAAATGTAAAGACCTCTTCATCACAGTGCACGGTTAGTCTTAGACTGGATTGAGGAAAGAAAGGCAATAAAACAAAAAATTTAACATGTTCCTAACTTTTGGGGGCATACAAGTACAAATTCTATACGTGCACAAACCAGAGTTATAGTCTATAAATTTTGGCAATAGGTGCTGCATTCTTAAGAAGACATTCACTCTTACTATTATGCACAAACCCTAAAATGAGCACCTTTTTAGGTTTTACAAATAAGGAATTATTTTATTAGAAAATTGGTTGAAAAGGGAGACCAGTCTTTGCTATCAGAACAAATGTCCTTCTTTAAAATGAACTTAGAACAGAAATGAAAGAAAATGTAAACAAAACAAAATAAAGATTTAATTTTCTTAGGGTGACTTGACCATCCATTCTGTTAATAAAAATGAAACAGGAGGCACTGTCACCAAAAATAATGATCTGAAAATGTTAATCATGGGTGAACCTAGATAAAGATAGGTAAACCATTGGGTTTTTATTGTATTGTACTTGTAGTGTTCCTGTAGGTTTGGATTTCTTTTTTAATAGTAAAGGGTAATGATTTGAGAATTGAGAAGAGTTATTGCTGTAAAAATATTATTTTGAAATTATAAACAGATGATGATATATTGCAGAACCTCAAATTAATGAATTAGGTAAACTTGAAAATTTATCTTTAGAATTCAAGGAAAAAGATGAAGAGATTAAATTTTAGGATAAAACAAAGGTAGAGTCAGGAAGTTCATTATGTTGATAATAGGGGTTATAGAGGTGAGAACAGATGGAAGAAAAATTTTATCAGAGAAAAGAATAGAGTTTATGTGAACTGAGGAAAGACTTTAGTCTTTAGATTAAAAGGTCTAACAAGTACCAGGCTAGAAAATGGAATGAGATTCCAACCTATGCATGTCCTAGTAGTATTTTTGAATATCAAAGATTATTGTAAAGAAAAGGCTTTTGACATCTATACTTTAGTAACATTGAATGTTGGATACAGTGAAGCATGTTTACAGAATACAAAAGAACAAATATACAATAATATCTATTGAAATATACCAAATATGTAAAAATTTATGAATTCATAATGATATTGTCAAAAAAGATGCCTTGGGAGATTGCTAGAGCACTAACTCATTATTCTATATGTTGATAAAAAAGTAAAAAATTTTATCCTGACTTTTGTTTATAAGCTATATTCCAATATAATTAAATAATTGATGAGAAAAGGTTCTTCCCCATGTAAGAATTCTGGCCATAAAATAGAGAAAGAATTATTTTATTAGAAAACTCACCACTTAATGTTCCCCAATGAAATGACGGATCTAAAAACAATTAGCATGGCTGCTAAAACCATTAAGAGAAAGGTTTTATGAATGATGTATGAATCAAA